CAGAAAAGGGGAGAAAGAAAGAAGAATAAAAAAAAGATGAAGATGATGATGATGATCCTGACAATAACAAGAGGTGATCCGCTAGTGTTAGCGGATCACCAAAAATAAAGGAACACGTCTTCAAGAGAATTGATTTTAGCTATAACATACTCACAGGTGGGAGACAATTAATCAAGATAAGCGAGATACGTTCAAACGAGTATAAAAAGTAATGACGTCATAAATGAAAATTCAGTTTTTTTCTTAATTCAAATGGCAATATGATGATGTCAGAATGTCCGATCAGCCATTATGATCTATAAAATCGTATCTACAACTCATGTGCTTTCAGAATATGTAATAAAAATTGGGGGTCACCTTTCATCCTAAGGAGCTAAAACTGATTAAAAATATTCATGGTTTTATGCATATATATATGTTGACGCACGTGTACATGCACGCTAAAAAGCGCAAATGGAAAATTAAGGTACATAATATTCAACCTTGACCTGAAGTTTATGCTCACCTAATATGATTTAGAAATGACGATTGGTTAAGATGATATAGGCTCATCAACTTTTTGAGGAAAGAAAGACTTGGGGGGGGGGTCATTTTTTTGACCATGATGACGTCATCAAAAAGTAAAAAGAAGTCACATATTTGAAAGAAAATTGTCTGAGCTATATTCATACTCAAATTTGGAAGACTATCGACCAAGGATAAGCAAGATACGCTCAAATGCGCATTTTCAAAAATGACGTCATCGATAAAATTCAGTTTGTTGAATTCAGATGGCAAAATGATGACGTCACAATGTCCGATCAGCCAAATAGGGGGTCTCCTTTCATCCTAAGGGGCTATAATTGATTAAAAATAGGCCTTACTTTAGCATATTTTCATTGTATATCGGCACAAATCCCCGCAAAGATCCCTATGTTTGATGCGCACATACGACATTGCTATTGGCCATAAGATAACCGAAAACAATGAAAATTTGTGAAAACAATTTCAGGAACCCAAAATATGCAAAAAAACCTAATTTCTAGCTTCCATACGTGCTGCACAAGTAAAAGTGCGCGCGCGTAGTGATAAATTACGAAAAATTTTGAAATGCTAAAAATGGCCTGAAACGTGCTCTAATTTAGTCAAAAAGTGATTTCGAGCATTTTAAAATTTTGACGCATGCATACGCGCGCGTTATGAAGCGCACGTGTAAAATCATGGTACATTACATTTAACATTAACCCAAAGTTAATGCTCACTTAATACGATTTCGAAATGGCAATTGGTTAGGCTGATATGATCGATAATGTAAAAATGCAAAATTGCGCGTAACCGACGTCACGCATGACTGGTCATCTTGGAAACCTTACCGTGACTATTCCAGACGAAGCCAAAATGATCGATGAAGCGACCTTGTGCATAGCTCGTAGCAATTTTGAGATATCGTGCGAATAAAAATGCAAGGAAAGGTAGAATAAAAAAAAAAAAGATGAAGTAAGAAGATCTCTGACAATAACAAGAGGTGATCCGCTCGAGAAGCGGATCACCAATGAGATGGTTAAATGCTTTAAATTTATATGATTAGGAAGAAATATACATATCTTATTTTTGGAGATTTCAAGGCAGTGGCAGGCGCAATAAAAATAAAGACATTTTTTTCAGAAATTCTTTTTTTTTCGTGGCGGCTGGTGCGCTAATTGGCCAAAAATAAAATTTTATTTTAATTCAAAATCATCATTATTGGCCGGCGGCGGGTTGGCTAAACAAGGTAAAAAAAAGGTCTTGCCTTACAGTAAAAGTTAGTAGTTTATCTAATTTTATGTCTGACCATTAATGTCCCTAGAAGATGGAAATACGTTGATGACCTAACATTGGGGGAAGTAGTGAATGCTAAAAAGGGAGATCAAAAAATGCAATCAATTCTTGATGATGTTAGCTTGTGGTGCGCTGACAATAGTATGCTTCCTAAACCCAGTAAATGTCATATTATGAGAGTGTCGTTTTTACAATCCCGTACTCCTGACCCCTTTTTTACCCTTAATGACCAGGTCATTGATGTGGTCGATTCTATGAAGTTATTAGGTTTATTTATTCAAAATGATTTAAAATGGGACAAACATGTGAATGAATGTATCTCTAAAGCTTCTAAGCGCCTTTTTACGCTTTCAGTTATAAGGAAAGCTAAAGCCTCTGTAAATGATCTTTTATGCGTTTTCATTACTTACATTCGTCCTGTTTTGGAATACGCATGCCCATTGTGGCATAGTTCTTTAACCATTATCCAACGAAATAGAATTGAGCGGGTTCAAAAGAGGGCGCTTAGGAGTATTTTTGGTATGGATTACTGTAGCTATGATAATGCTTTAATATTGTCCGGGCTCTCTTCTCTTAATACTAGGAGAGAAAATTTAATGATGATGTTTGGTAATGGAGTTCTTGCTTCGAAATTGTTTCGTGATATGCTTCCCCACTATCGCAATCACGGTAGGAATTTGAGAAATAATAATTTACTTAGTGCTCCTTTGTGTAGGACACAACGATGGAAAAGCTCCACCATTCCTAAAATTATTGATGGCATTAATAATTCTAAAGTTAAATTGAATTTGGATATTTTTCATCCATAATTCAACACTAACAATAACATTTTACATGGTGTAAGTTGCAGTAGTTTGACAATGATGCTTATTATTAGAATGTTAAAGTATTATATGGTATTGAATATGTTATATAAAAGTATATATATGTTTGTTAGTGCATATTTATGTGTATATTTTATGTATATATATTATTATATTGTATTAGAGATTATATATTTTTATATATTATGTATATATATATTGTGTATAATTTTGATATGATTATGTAATATATTGTAATATTGTTATGATTATGATAATAATAATAATAGTAATTATAATAATAATAATAATAATAATAATAATAATAATGATAATAATAATGATGTACTGTTTTTGTGTATCTTGCCTTTTTACTGTTTTCTTAATTGTTCACAGAGATTTCAGCTTATGCTGTCCTCTGTTTTTAATGTATTTTATTGGTGAATAATAAATAAATAAACCTGAATATATAATTTACTGTACATCTGCAGGTTCACATAAGTAGATAGGTTAGGCGAGACTTCTTTATACCTTGTTCCACAAACTTATTTTTTTAAAGATTGTCACAGGAGGACAAAAAAAAAATACAAATACAATTTTGTTTTCTTATAATACCAAATAGTTTTGCCAAAAACATTGAGACGGAGGAGAAAATAAAAATAAAATGTTAATGGTGAATGTAAACAGTGTAGTAATGGGATTGTTAAATGCTTTAAATTATATAATTAGGAAAAAATGTACACACCTTATTTTTGGATATTTCAAAGCAGCAGCGAGTGTAACAAAAATTAAGAAAAACCATAATTTTTTCTGAAATTTCCATATTTTAATGGTAGCGGTGCGATAATTGGCCAAAAACAAAATTTTATTTTTATTTGAAATCATCATTATTGGTGGGTGGCGAGTTCACTAAACAAGGTATAAAAAATGTTTCACCTTATCCATCCATAACATTAAATATTAGGCAAGAATTACTCAAATAATATTTAACCTATTATGGGGTGGTACCTTCACTTAAGAGACAAAGCATAAATATACATTACAAGATTTGAACCTAAGGATCAAGTCAACAGAAACTTAAAAAATCTCTACCAACCTGAACTTTGACTTCTGCTTTAGAATATGTTCCATCCAGGTTTCAAACATTGTAGATAAGAAGACGGTTACTATGGATACCTGAACCTCTGGTTGAAGACGACTGATGGCTTCTATGATTGGCTGGATTATCGTCACTGTAGAGGCTTTGGCGTACTGATTTGGTTCTGTGGGAAGAACTACAGAAAAAAAATTCCACAGACCAGTAGACCCAAATTATTCTCATATTTAATATCAATTTGTTTACTTTGGCAGGGTTCTCACCACACTGGTCGGCGGTGGTCGGGCCCATCCAGCACTCAACATTTCCGACCAGTATTTTTAGGCTGCCGACCACCACTATTTTTGCAATTGATAGTGGAAAAGAAAGTAGGCTAACAAAATACTTTCGTTGCACGACTACCAGAGTAGGGAGTTGTTGATTAACCTGATTTTGTCAGGCGGGGGGAGGGGGGGTAGGTTTTGATGCGTACATGCACGCTAAAAAGCGCAAATGGAAAATTAAGGTACATAATATTCAACCTTGACCTGAAGTTTATGCTCACCTAATATGATTTAGAAATGACGATTGGTTAAGATGATATAGGCTCATCAACTTTTTGAGGAAAGAAAGACTTGGGGGGGGGGGTCAGATAAAACATTTTTTTGACCATGATGACGTCATCAAAAAGTAAAAAGAAGTCACATATTTGAAAGAAAGTTGTCTGAGCTATATTCATACTCAAATTTGGAAGACTATCGACCAAGGATAAGCAAGATACGCTCAAATGCGCATTTTCAAAAATGACGTCATCGATAAAATTCAGTTTGTTGAATTCAGATGGCAAAATGATGACGTCACAATGTCCGATCAGCCAAATTGGGGGTCTCCTTTCATCCTAAGGGGCTATAATTGATTAAAAATAGGCCTTACTTTAGCATATTTTCATTGTATATCGGCACAAATCCCCGCAAAGATCCCTATGTTTTATGCGCACGTACGACATTGCTATTGGCCATAAGATAACCGAAAACAATGAAAATTTGTGAAAACAATTTCAGGAACACAAAATATGCAAAAAAACCTAATTTCTAGCTTCCATACGTGCTGCACAAGTAAAAGTGCGCGCGCGTAGTGATAAATTACGAAAAATTTTGAAATGCTAAAATTGGCCTGAAACGTGCTCTAATTTAGTCAAAAAGTGATTTCGAGCATTTTAAAATTTTGACGCTCGCATACACGCGCGTTATGAAGCGCACGTGTAAAATCATGGTACATTACATTTAACATTAACCCAAAGTTAATGCTCACTTAATACGATTTTGAAATGGCAATTGGTTAGGCTGATATGATCGATAATGTAAAAACACAAAATTGCGCGTAACTGACGTCACGCATGACTGGTCACCTTGGAAACCTTACCGTGACTATTCCAGACGAAGCCAAAATGATCGATGAAGCGACCTTGTGCGTAGCTCGTAGCAATTTTGAGATATCGTGCGAATAAAAATGCAAGGAAAGGTAGAATAAAAAAAAAAAAGATGAAGTAAGAAGATCTCTGACAATAACAAGAGGTGATCCGCTCGAGAAGCGGATCACCAATAACAAGAGGTGATCCGCTCGAGAAGCGGATCACCAATAACAAGAGGTGATCCGCTCGAGAAGCGGATCACCAATGAGAATGCCGACCACCACTATTTTTGCAATTGATAGTGGAAAAGAAAGTAGGCTAACAAAATACTTTCGTTGCACGACTACCAGAGGGAGTTGTTGATTAACCTGATTTTGTCAGGCGGGGGGAGGGGGGTAGGTTTTGATGCGGCGACCACGCCCCCTGGGTTGGGGGTGGTCGCCGACCACCTCTCCAAAATGCTGGTGAGAACCCTGCTTCGGGATATCATTGCAAATACAGTATTTGACAATGGATTTTTCCACTAAGCACCACCCCTTGGATATTGTTGCTAAAGGTCCCACAAAACAACATTTTTAAAACATACGCAAACATTTGCATTCGTGGGACAATATATGCGCTTGTTAAAACATGCCTGTATGCCAGGTTAAGTTTGATTGACACTTCAGAAAGGTTCATTCTGCCAGTTCCCACAAGATCAGAACAGCAAAACACAATACGTAGCTTCTCCTAACTTAGGACCCTGATATCTGTCCTTACCATTGGTGGTTTTCCTTCTCCAAAACTTTCCTATCGGCATTGTCTTCTGCCAATACTCGCTGCACATTTTGCCACAGTCCTCAGAAAACAGTTGACTAGTGAGTTTTGAAATATCCTGCAAGAAAATGACATTTTCATTTAATTCAATTGATTGATGTAAAAACATTATAACCCATTTTTTTTTATTGGATTTGATTTGAGTATATTTAGCAATCACAGTTAAAACACAAAAACAAGTATTTCTAAATAACTTGACAATGGAAAGCAAGGGGACCCCTCTTGAAATAATTCCCGGCTTTATATGTCTTTTAGAAGGTTACCACCATAGTACTGTATCTTCTAGCAGCACTTTTTTTTAAATTATATTTTTGTGTACACTATATCATCCTCATCTCAGGAAACCACTAGCTTTTTCCATTCCTGTCTGTCTTCAGTTAGTTCTTTAATGCCATCTGGTGTTAGTCCATCAGTTTGGAGTATCCCTGATAATTAATGTGTCTTCCTCTTCTGCCTACGCCATAGAAAGCACATAGGGCAAGAATGCATACTGGTTCGTTGACCTCAATGCATAAAATTTGGTCTAAAAATTTTAGTTGTTTTTACCTGACATCCAGTATTATTATGTCTTTTTTACTGTACTTGGAGATATTAAATACATCAAAATCAAAATTAAGAAGTATAGCCAGGGGTTTATGTAAGAGCTGGTGGCTGGCGCATTCGATCGTCTACTACGATGTTTTCGCCGGCTACTTCAATCAATGCTGTACAAAAATTAATACAAAAACCACCAGTACAATTAGCACAACAGGCCTGTAAAGAACCTTATTTACCTACACGGAGTTAATTTGCAATAGTATGCACTCATTTTGATGTTCCTTTCTGTTGAAATTTTGTTAAAATGTCTACCAATTTTCAGACTCCATGTTTGACTTTCATCAAAGAACTTAAATAGCAGAAGAATGAGCTGTTCCGCGTATTTGCATTAAAATCGATGGAGCATCCGCCCTCCTGCGGATGCAGTAAAATTTAAACATTTTACTAAGTGGAGAAACTACAGGAAACAAATGAACCAGAGCGGCGCCTTTATTATTACTACATAGCGCCTTTATTATTACTACATAGCGCTGCTACGCGGATGCAGTAAAACTTTTCTCCGTGTACCAACAATGCATTTCGACCGGATGTTCCACTATTTTGGGAAGCTGCTCTATCTTCTGCTATTTATTATCTTTGCTTTCATGAACTCACGGCGTAAACAAAGTTAAAGTTCAAAGTTCGACAGTCACGCCTGGGTGAGTCCATCAAAGAAGCCATGCCTCCAAATCACATGTTAGCCAATAAGATAATAGAAATTTCTCCTCCACCACATGCTCAGGTGATGACGACATACATCGTCCAAACTCTTTTTCCGTACATTGCGCTTCCGGGTTTTCTTATCACGGAGAATAAAAAAAACAGATCGTCATTTTAAAATTAATTTGTGTATGACTATGAACCTTTTATTTTCATTTCATTTTTATTTTACTAGCCCTCTTTGTGATGACACTGGCTCAAATTAGTTTACACTCGGTGGCAGAGGTAGCAAGCTGAACCAACTATATTGAATGCTGTTTACATTCACAATTTCAGAGTCATAGATAATACAATGATTAAAATGACAGAGCAAGCCAAAATCATCTCAATTCACATCACATGAGACATTTTTTTTCCAATGTGGTATCCATTCCTTTTCAATATCTGCGTAAATTTTAGAACTATTTTTTGCTCTCCTTATATGTTTTCTTCAACGCAGATCTACAGTAGGGCATAGGCCTAAATGGTGAATCCCCACAAATTGCAACATGTTTGTGAAAAGTAAACTACTTCATCATTATAAAAATTGTATTTTCAATTTATTTTGGTGGATTTTATTAAATGTGTATAAACTTAACAAAGGATGTATTTCAATTATTGAATCAATATTCTGACCTTAAATTCAGATGTTGAGCTCGAAAAATTCGTAAATTCTAGGCCTAGGCCTATTTTAACCTACTCAGTAAGTAAACTGATCAGGGAGGTTCTGATCATCACTTCATGTGATTGCGCATTTGCAACCACTGTGCAGTGTATACTAAGAAGTTCAAATGGGAAACTAATACCACGATGTTCAATCAACATCAATCAATGTGTTTGAATGGATAACTACAGGAAAATAATTTGTTAATAAAACATTGATAAACATTGTTCATTTTGTAGGATGCTTGAATACTGTGTGTGTGTAAACCATAGAGCTTTTAAACAACTAGAGTGCTGACGAGATGGTGAAGAAATGCAGAGATGTGTATGTGTACCATCCAAGATGGTATATATATTATTACCATAAATATGCCCTCTGACTGACTATTATTTCATTAATGATAATTAGTATTGATAATAACAAATTATTAAACTATTGTAGCAAAAAAGAGGCCAATTAAAGCATCTTATTAAAAAAAATAAAAATAAATAAAATCGTGTACATTACACCTATACGCCACAACGCTCGAGTTTCAAACATACGGGTAACTAGCTGTACTGAACTTTCTGTGTAAATTGAGGACGCCGTTGAAAATGATAGTGCTTAGGCGAAATTTGATTGGCTGAATCTATGGCAGCCATCTTGGTACACACACACACACAGCTCTGCGTATTTCGAACATCGAATACATTGCAGTTAGCGCTCTAATATTCTTATTATATCTCTATGGTGTAAACTTGTCTCTTTCTTGTCTGTGCCTGGGAGAGCCAGCTAAGTCCTGGTCCTAGCAACTGAGGTAGGCTGCAGGCTTATGGCGCCTAAGCCTCTGCCTAGGCCTAGATACTGTAGCCTTCATACACAGTGGCTGTAGGCCTATCTAACCTACAGTAGGCCTAAACTCACGATACGATATTTTCAGCTATTGTATGATATTCCTCTCATGAATAAACTTTTGGCTTTTTGAGATTCGCGAAAGTTTAATGTCGCGAAAACAGGCCGAAATTATCAATTCGCGAAAGTTTGTGGTTTACAATATCTATTTAGGCTAGGCCTATGTATGAAGAATATGTAAAAATATCAACTTTTTTACAGCTCAGTAGCTGATTCTTAAAACTGTTAAAAAAAAAAATGATGTAGAGAAATGTCATCAAATGGGCTCAAAAAACTCTAAAACCCTGGAGCGCAATGGCGCTTCGCCCCCTTGACCTCCGACCAGGGCTCTGCTCTGATGGTCATATTATAAATCTACATCTATTCTAACTATCTTCTTTACATTACATATTATACTTTTGTTGACCTAGGTGGTTTTAATTTTTCATAGGCTGATGAATAATGGCACCTTTGAATAATAACAAAGTAGGGATTACATTTCTGGATCTTACCTGAAGGTTGCTAAGAATTTGATTAAGTTGCACTGAAGAAGTTGACAGCTGATATTTGTTAGAATATGATTGGTTGGTTCCTCGACACATGATGTCAGTCAAATGAACCACTTTCCCACAAAGGCCTCTAATAATCTGAAAAAAGATGCCTTAATACAGTGAATGTTAATAAAGACATTTCACTTTGTTGATATGCATAGTCTAGTTTTCTATTGCACTTGATCATATGCATGTGATAAATCATTACTGTACTTTTCTTTCTGATGAAACTTAAATTATTTTTACAGCAATTTACAAGTGTACTCAGTGGCGTAAACGAAGAGTCTTGGGGCATCTGGCAAGGCTTTTTGACCCTACAACTGTACACGCCTGGGGGCTGGCTGGGTAGAGAGCATAGTGTTGTACTGTAGAGGACAAACCCACACTTCAAATTTTTTAACATTTTATGGATGTATTTTAAAGTGATTTTATATCAGCACCATTTAAATGCCCTGATAGGCCAATTTTGGTAAAAACAAAAATTGGTGATGCAAGAGCTCAGCTGTCCACTGGATATACAGTAGGCCTACAGTACTGTACATTTTTTATTTATTTATTTGTTCTTTATATTGGGTTTCCTCTTCAGTAACAAATTCCTGTTCTCCCAGAGGGCCCAGTACACATAAAACATTAAAATTCGAAGAATTTACAAATCATTAAAAAAAGTCTCATAAACTAGAAATTGCAAATTGCAAGTGAAGTGCTGCGAAGTACAACTGCATATAAGGCTAGGCCTATACCATCCTAGCTAGTCTAGGCCTAGAGGGATAAGGCTAGCGCGACATGTGGACGTTGGTACGTGTTGGTTAGTCTACAAACGTCGCCTAAAGTAATTGATTTTACCCGGCAGAACGAAAGGAAGAAACTCCGCTTCTTTGTTTCGCGTGCTTATTTTTTTTAAAGATTATCGAAACAGGGCGGAATAAAAATAAAATTTTGTTTTCTTATTTCGCTAATAGTTTTGTCAAAATCATCCAGATGGAAGAGAAAATAAAAACAAAATTTTATTGGTGAATTTAAAATAGGATGTGAATGCTTAAAATTTATATAATTTCATGAAGAAATATACATATCTTATCTTTGGAGATTTCAAGGCAGCGGAGGGTGTAATAAAAAAAAAGAAAAACATTTCTTTTTTCTGAAATTTCCACTTTTTCGTGGCAGCCAAATGGCCAAAAATAAAATTTTATTTTATACAGAATCATCAATATTTGCAGTCAGCGAGTTCGCTAGCAAGGTATAAAAAAAAAGTCTCGCCTAACCTTCCACTGATCAGTCAACATCATAAATCTTATATATTGTTAAGTGTATGGATCAAAAACCAATGGAATACACACTTATCTCCCTAGCTGCACAGTCCATAATTTTGCAGTTTGCAGTCAGCACATATTCAAACCTACTAAAACGTACACTCCCTATCATTTTTCATTTTAATTCAAGTATGAAACATGGCAGTCACTAATTGGTTAAACTGTGTGACATTTACAAACTTTGAAAAAATAAATAGCCTTGAAATTCTGCACTACAACTTTCCAAGTTAAATCATTTTTATAAAAATAAAAATGTTTAAATCAAAAAAACAAAAAAAAATTGTTTGGAGAAGATTATATACACTGAGTAAAACCAACGTCATCTGGTCAAACATGAATGCTTTAGAGATACAGTACTAGGGGAAAAAAGTGAAATTAGAATCTTAAAGAATAGTACGGAAAATTTCATATTCATACCACTAGTCTTTCTTATTGGAAACCAAATGCAAACACTGTGCCACATGCTTCCAATATCTCCAAGAACTATTTATTATTATTTATTTATTTATTTTTTTATATATAATATAGTGGTCCACATATGCTAAAGTTTTCAACGTGGATGCAGGCAATCCCAGCAGTATCCATTTACTTTTGGGTGGAGAAATGTAATACAGATATTAAAAGTGCCTTGCTAGGACAAGTAAAATACACAAGTACTGCAACCTGAACTTGAGGTTGGGAAATCAATCCATTCCCACTGAAAAAAGGTGCTTCAACAAACATTCACACTTTATTAATGACAATCATAATATCCTACCTGATGGTCACACTGAGTGACCAGAAGAAATTCTGCGACTGACCAGGAGGCCAGGTACTTCTCGGCTCTTGTCCAACACCAGTAGGTTCCGACATCGATTGCAGAGACTAACTGGAGAGCTGGGATAATATGTAAGCTATCAGACTTCTCAGTTGGTACTGTCAAAAAAATAAATGAATAACTTAAAAATTAAATATTGTTTTGAGCTTTACACAGTTTGTAATTAAATACCAACTAATTAATCAATAAACAAACAAAAATAACATTACACTACTGGTGGATCCAGAAATTTCTTGCCGGATGCAATAGCAAGTACCTATGGTCAATATGGGGAGGATGGTCGATGTTGGGGATGTTCTATCTAGTGTAAGGGACTAGGGGCTGCTGTACCCCTTGAAGCTACAGAGTTTTAGCTAATTCTTAATCTACTAGTATTAGTATAGTAGTAATAATAAATTATTTCATAATTAGAGATTTGTTGGCTGTAGGTAACTAATAAATCAACTGGGAATTTTTAGCCTATGTGCCTACATAAATAAAATATAATAGATTATAAATTTAACTGAATTTAATTTAAATCAAATATTTCTGTTTATTGCAATGAACTAATTGCATTAGCTCTATTGTACAATATAGCTCTAAAGATACTTTGAATTTAAAATGCACAAACATGCTTTACATAATACATGTGCAAGCCAACTATATTATCACTGATATCGTAATATGATAGGTTAGCTTTAAATGATGTTATCTTATCTGTTTATCACAATGCACATGAGAACTGCAACATTAGTATACATTATAAAGCACAGCAGAAATAGGCCCATAAAGGTGTTCATCAGTACACACTATTTGAAATTATAAAGTCAGTTGTGACGTCATCACTTTCATTTCAAAATTTTCCTATCCACAATCAATCACTAATTCGATATAGTGCCTCTGATTTTTTGTATAGTTGTGTTCAAAAACCTCAATGAAAGTAAAGGGTTTAAGATTGCGATGAAAATTTCATTGCCAGGCCAAACTCTGAACGCACACAGTGGATTAACCAATCTCGCTCAACGCCAGGCGCTGGTTAACATTTAAAATGAAACCTAGACCACAGACCAAGGCAAGGCCTAGCGAAAGCCATGGTTATGAGATAACAAGCCAATTGACTTAAAGTGGAGTAAAAAGAAAGGGCAACGCTGAAATAAAGCCATAATAATGTTTAAAATACATTTGAATCCATTAAACAAATGTCTACCCGGAGAAAATTTATGATTATGGCACCTAGATGGCCGGAGATTGCACTATCAGACTTAAATTTGAATATAAATTTCTTTTCTTTTTTTAAATAATTTTGAAAAATTAGGGGCATTTTTAATTCTGTACCCTGAAAAATGTGGACCTTTGGTAATTTTGGGGGGGTGCGTACGCACCTGTCGCAACCCACTGCGTACGGGATTGGGCAATGATGATAATGATGATGATAATGATGATGATGACGATGATAATAATGATGATGACGATGATAACAACGATGATCATAATGACGATGATGATGATGATGGTGACGACGATAATACTCAATGTATACTCTACAGATGTTATAATATAATATATGGAAGATCAAATTTATGCATTTTTAAAAGACTGTTCACAAAATTAGATAAACTGCATTTTCATGGGACACAGGATAGTGGAAAGCATAGGATTTATTATCAGAGGTTTCCCTGAGCTACAGTTGAAAGTACAAGTTAGAATAAAGAAAATGAACGATGATAAAAATTGTGAGAAATAAATTTCTAATTGTGTGCTAACATTTTTCCAGATTAATTTTAAATTTACTAAAGACTAAATTTGGTTTTTCCAGGGTGGTGGGTAGTTAATTCCATGTTAAAATGCCAATTGTAATGATGGACTTGCAATGATTTTCTAGTACAGCAGGTAAGTATGTACAGTATTTCCTGGTTTTTACATTAAGAGCATTTAAATGAATTTAGTATAATATTAATGTGACAAGAAATATAAGACTACATACATTAATACTTAATCAAAAATACTGAATAGATTATTAAGATTGAAAACAGATCGGCCATGTAGTCATGCCATCCAGCTCCAGAAATTGATCGAATTTCCCTTTTTCAAATAAGAACAATTTTGTTAGGATGAATGTTGTCAGCGTTTCCCCGCATGGAAATCATGTAATTAACAGAAAGTAAGTCAAGACAAGAATACAGTAGAGAAAATAGAACTTGGAAATGTTGATCTGAGTTTGGTGATTACATGCCAGTATTAGATGGTTTGGAGACATAAAGATACAGTATGATAGGTTTATTAATTCTCTCAACTGTAGGTTGGGAGCTTATTAATACTGCTGTGATATGAAATTATCTCATATGAAACTCCAGCGCTGAATTACTGTAATCTAACTTGGTACTTAATCAGAGTGCATGGTGTATTATTTTACAAACACAATAAAGAATTGGCAGTCACAGTATGATTGTAGTATTAATATTATTACCTTTCCCCATTCTGTTGAACATATAGATGGTTTGACTGGCCATCAGGACTGAGATAAGCGGAAGGATGGATGCCTGAAGGAGGGAGCACGTTCTGGATCCCTCTTGTTCTGGTTGTAATGTTGCTGGCAGGCACTTATCTGACAATGCCGATCCTAAAGTATCACATAATTCTGGAAGAGATAAAAAAACTAATACCGTAATTCACTTGCACTATTAAGGTACACTGCCACTCAAAAAATTAGGAGGAAATACTGTACATAAAAAAAAACTTCAAGGTCAACTACATAGTAATTCAGTGGTTCTCTACTTTATGACCGATGAACCAAATGAACATCCAGGCAATATCTATGCTGCAACCCACTTCCTGTGACATAAAAAACATATACTCAAAATGCATCATCAAAATTGATGTTAATGATGCTTACAGCTACTGCAGTCTCTTGTGCCAACAAATTTGAACATGCTGATACAGTGTAAGATTTCAATTTCCAGTTTTTGGTCTTGAAAATAGTATAACTGAAGGCGACTCAGCAATATGTTTAGGGAGGTACAGTAGTTCCAAAAGTGGCAGCTGAATATAAAAATTATCTGTGGCCTTAGGATTTGGTGTTAACTTTAGGAACAATGAGCAAGTCAGAAGAATCGAGGGCGGTTAAGAAGACATACAAGTAGGCATAAAGTTGGCTTGCTGGAGTCGCAGTGCTTTAAATGTTAGAGGAATTTTATAACTTGCTTGAATAGTTAATGGGAAGCCAGTAGGCCTACTACATAACGGGAGACATGTGCAATTGTCATTTAGTCTGTGTCCACAAATTTAATAATTTTAGACAACAGTGTTAAACATCTTAAAATGTTTTAAAACATTTTGTATTTTTTTATGTTCATCTAAAATCACACCTTTTCCACATAATTTTACTATACTCTATTGAACTGCTGTCTGTCAGTATTCAAGATTCTATTATATAGTTTTTATGATGATAATGATAAACAAATAAAACATTCAGTATACACTCTATAGCATAGACTTGCCACAAGTCTCTTTAATTTATTATTATTTTTCTTATTCTGGATAGCACCACCAATGAGAAAGTTAATTTAGAGAGCTAATCCGAAAAATATGAAATCGAGTATAGGACGCCAATTAAATTAGGTATGGTGCGCACAAAGTGCAATAAAGAGTGAATTACCCAAAATTAGGGCCTGGAACCCAGGCTATCTATAACAAAGCCTGGTTTCCATAAAAATGCCTGTAAAAAGTAATAAAATAAAATTTAAAAACAAAAGTATTTAAATAAATAAATTGAAAAAAAAAAAAAAAAATAATAACAATAATAATAATAATAATATACGTACTGACTCTAGCATGAGTAGTAGCTTGCCACCCCCCCCCCCCCCCCATTGGGGGGAGGCAGCAAAAGGAGAGAAAATATGTAGATCAAGTAATTGCGTAAAACTAAACTAAAAATTGATAGAAAGAAAATTAAATATTTAAAAAAAAGGTATCAGAAAAATTTAAGATGGCTTTGATTTCTTTACTGTTTTATTCATATACAGTATCCAACTTGTAAATACTTAAACAAAACAAAAAATTTAAGTTGCTGTATGTGAATTACTTTAAGTTTATGAACAGAATTTATACTTTGTTTACCTTGGCAATGCGTTTTCCACTTGACTACATTTTAATGTTCACTGATATCATAGTGTCTGGAAAGTGCTCACAATAAGTATGAATGAATACATGTTTAATTCTAATTGGCTATGGGATATAGCAAGCTTACTGTACAATCATTCTAGGGTTTTGTTAAACATCCTGAGCTTTTCCTCCTGATTGGCTAATTAAGATACAGCAAGACTGCATTCAATCTGATATTGAGCACGTCCTGAGATACCATTTCTGTGATTGCCTATTAGACACGGCATGCCTGCATTAAACATGATATTGAGCATGCTGCCGTATCCTCAAAATCCCATTCCTATGATTGGCTAAGACACAGCATTTTGAGCATGAATATTAAGTTAATGTACTGTAGCCTACTGTGTAAGATCTTTCTGCTATTTTTGATAGCAAGCCTGCATTCATTCCTAGGTTGTCTGAGTAAACAATCCTGGCTCTCCTTCCTGTGGCTAAATAAAGCACTCTATATTTTAATTTTATTTATAGTGAGCATTATGGTCCTGAGCAACCACTTTTGTGATTGGTGAATACAGCAATATTTTCCATGTTGTACAGTATAATCTTGGGCTCTTATAAAACTGGCTCTGTGATACAGAGAGCCTGGTATCACTTTGATTATTTAATTTGATAGGTAAAATAAGATGCAGCACAGTACTTATAGTTTTCAAACCATGCCCGTTAATGTACACAAGCTTAATTATCACAGTATAATATGTGGAACATTTTAATGTACAGCATGGAGAGATACCACAGTGAATTACATAGTACAAACCAATTAACCTTTAAAAGCTTAAGTAATACTAAAGTCATGCATTTCGTAAAGTGCACAATTGTAATAAAATTATTATAGGACTTTCTGTTGTTCCAGATAATTAAATCAAGAATAATTATATGTTAGAACAAGGTATCTATTTGCATTCTTCAGATATATAGGCAAAATAAGGTAATTAGGTAATTCGAAATACTGTACGCTACAATATTTCACAGTACTGTACCTTTGGAGAAAAAGATAAAAGGGTGAAAAAAGTCAGACTGGTTTAAAGTCAAAACAGGTGTCAAGCAGGGATGTGTCATGTCTGGATCCCTCTTCACACTAGCAGTATATTGGTTGATGAGATATACAACCAGAAGGAAAAATGGAATTAGATGGACACTACACACAACACTAGATCATAATTATATAGATGATATCACACTGATCTCAAGCACTAAAGAACAACTTCAAGATAAAAACAGACAGACTGGTATTCTGGAAGAAATATAGGCTTAAGAATAAACAAAAAGACGACAAAAGTATTAAACGTGAATAAATAACATGATGAAACAATCAGAGTAGAGGAAAGTGAACTAGCAAAAGTAGACAACTACATTTAGGATCACTACCTTTAACTCCGTGCAACGATCTCCAGAGAGAGGGGTACCGACACTGACATCAAAAGAAGAAAATTGTACTTTCATATTAACAGGCCTTTAAACTAACTAGATAAAATTTGGTACAGTATTCTATCTAAGGAAAAGACCAAGCTGGAAAATTTCTGTTCTACTGTACAGTACTGTAAAGTGCAGAAACTTGGAAGATAACAAAACAAGTGATGAACGAAAGCTCAACACATTCCAAAGATGAGAAAAATAATGAAGATACACTGGCCAATGAAAATAACATGAAGTAACCAATACTAAGGAACAAGTCAAGAAATACATAAAGAGATGGCACTGCATTGGCCATCTCCTTTGACCATCTCCTTAGAAAAGAAAATGGGAATTATGCCATACTACAAAATGGACTCCAAAAGGCAGATGAAAAAGAGGCAGACCAAGAACCACCTGGAGAAGAACAACAGAAAAAGAAAGAAATAAATTTGGATGGAGAACCTGCATCAGCAGTGGCCAGAGATAGAACGAAAGGTAGAAAGATATTACTCAACAAAGCCACAATCTCCTCCACAGTTAAAAGAGAGGAGCAGTAAGGTATGGTAATGGATTGATTTTATCAGAGGTATTTTTATTAAACTGCTTATACTCTAACTGCAAGAAAGTAGCTTAGTATACAGTTTAGCTCACTCAGCTAAACTGGTGTAGCCACTGTGTGTGCGGAGAAGCATAGCGACCCTTCCAGACTGTAGTTCTTTGACCGATTCAATTCTATCGCTGCTCTCCTTGTGTTTCAGGTGCCGTGCTGAAATACAAGTTTACACTTACTGTTTTTGAATGAGATAGCCATTGATGTGTAATTATTTTGCTTTGAACATTTCCAATGGGGGGAGGGGGAGACTGGGGACCCTGCAAACCTCCTATATACGCCACTTTGTGATAGTGTTAGTATTGTGACATAAAATGAATATCATTATTGGAAAGAGGAGGGGGATTTGCTCATGGTACAGTATCAATTAATACTAAACTATGCAAGTAGATTAAAAAATGAACACGATATTGATGATAACCAATTTGCATTTTAATCTGGAAGAGACCAGTTTCTACCAATTACTTAAGCATTTGCGATTGTAACCATGGCAATGTGAGTTATTTTATAATTACTTATGATCACTCAAATTAAGTGCACTTAGGTACATGAAAAACTTCTTAAAATGTAAAGAGCAATACAGTATAATGGTATACAGAACAAACACGATTTGTCCTAGAATAAAAAAAGATAATGTAAAAGGAGTGATGTCAGTTTTTTAGTTTAAGACCAAATTTAACTGTCTTTGTAGGCAATTTGGTTGATTTTGTACCATATGACATTAGTTGTTTTGCCCACTGCATCGCTCATCGTTTAAATATTGTTCCACCACACATTTTTTCTCCATCCAAATCGTCCATTGCACGTTCCCTATGGATATGAAATGACTTCAACCTAATACAATCTTATGATTGGTTAAGACACGGGACCGACATTTTCAGGAGGGTTAAATCCATGAAATGATGTCACGCCAATACAGTAACCTTTCTCAGGCCTACTCCTTGCTGAACTTGTCTTAGCGGTGTGTGCAATGTATCAGAGATTTTGTTTGCTGTAAAGTATTTTAATTTTAAGGTAGATTGTTCAATTTCAAGTACAGTGTCAACAATTTTTTTTCTCACTTATCTGACAATATGCTGAGAATTGTTATTTTAGAAAAAAACAGAAAGAAATAAAAATAAGTTTCATAATGATACATACACTAGAAATTAACAATTACAGATAATTGGAAAAAAGTAACTTACTAATATCGGATGCTGCCATGGCAACAGAGCTGAATAATTTATAACTTAATGACTGCAAGGAAGAGGCAGCACTATGGGGAAGGCATTCTGTAAAGAAAAATAATTTATTATTACATCTGTGGAAGAGATTTCTGTAAAAACAACAATAGTCTAGGTTGATTAAACCGGCCACAATACTGCAGTATACAAAGCAGTGCAACCAACATATATTGCCCCAGGGATTTATCAGAGATTAACTTTTAAAATAGCTCAATAAATAATTGTCAAGTTAATTACCACCTGATGCAAGTGGTTTGGTTTTTTTTACAAATGCTCAAACGAATTATATTAAATCCATCCAGAATAGAGCATGCAAGATTATGATAATGCAACCCATGTTGTGACAATGAGAATCAAATAAAAATTTGAAATACTGTAATAATTACAAACCTTCCATACATAATGCTTCTAACATGTCTTGTATAATAATCAACTGTGCAATGCCACATTGAAAGACATGTCCAAGATGAAGATGGTCATGCTCCTCTATCCTTATCCTCACTAAAGTTAATACACTATGCAACTCAGTTGTAAAGTTGTTCCACAATTGATCCATATACCAACTACACAATTGTTTCTTTGTAGTGAACGATTCAGAGTCTTCCCAACTGACAGATTTTCTCCTGCTTAAACGTTGATTTTTGTAAGATTGTGAGTTTTCTTTTGCACTGTGACGCCTGGTATGCAGCTGGCCTCTTGACACCCGTTTCTGTGAATTTTGGAACTTTGGATGGAGAAATGCGGTAGAGAAGGAGGCAATTGATAACAATTGTGACATAAAATCTTCCTCTTCTGCTTCAAGTTTTAGTAGTGGTGATGCAGCTTTTGACAAATTCAGACACTGCAAGTCACTTGCAGATAACAACTTCGCTTTTAAATCACTTTTCAGTTTTACTCCTGATGTCAACTCTTGTGAAGCATAACTCATTTCACCTGTAGTAATGCATGTTTGCCAATTAAACGTCTTTGGCGGTTGCATAAGCATTCCAGAGAGGTCTTTATTTTCGCAAAAAGAAGTGATAGTACGAAAGGCTACCAATTTTGATCTTTCTGAAGCGACAAATCCAAGCAGATTTTGCATGGTAATGGACTTAATTAACCCAGGAGCATTGAATGCATTAAAGACACTGGATGAAAAATGCATTGCATCGGAATCCTTTTGTAGAGATGTGTCTTTTCCCATTACCTGTTTAAGAATTGCATTGTATTCTTCAATTCCACGTGTAATGCTCCATAAAAAATCCTGATGGAGTTCATCTCCTTTGTAATATGCAAATACAGACAAACCAATACGTATCAGGTCATATAACCACCATATTGCACTTTCCTGTAGTCTTAACAACTTATCTTTCACAGTTTGTAACTCTGAAATTAATTCAGAAAAAAAGGGGTAAAGCGACTTTTCTGAGTGAACCTTGTGTTGAATTGATGTCCAGTAATTGAGGTACACACGCAGATCATCACAAAAACCTTCAAGGTACTCCAGTTTGGTTTCAAACTTCACAGAAGCAGGTTGTCCATGCTGCTGCAGATGTTGCAAAATACTGTACTCCTCATGAACGTTGATCTTCAGGTGACGCACAAAAGCTTCAAAACGGCGTATACGCACTATACAGTCTCTTAGTACCATAGCCTTTGCACGACTCGCCATTAACACTTGTAATTCTCTGTAGCATATTCCGATCCTGACACTATGTTTGTTATGTACAAAAGAGGTAAATCCTGGTGCTTTCAAGCAGGTGTGTCGACCAGGGAACACTGGCCTGAAACACTTTTCCAGCATTTCTATTCCATGATTAATATCATCCATCGACAGGTTGGAAAAAACATGCTTGTTTTTTGTTAAGACATTTGACTTGAAAGTGACATTCCTCCGGTGTGGGGGCGTGTCAAAATCCTGTGTAGGCTGCGCATGGAACTGATGTAGGTTTTGATGGCGCTGTAGTTGTGTAATTGGTGTCGCAACCAAGACCGATGGATCCATTCTCCAAACACTGTAATGATAAAAAAAGTAACAGAAACTGTAATGTACAATAACAACAAATAATCTAGCAAGTGCAGAGACCTTTACTGCCCATTGACACCTTGCAAATGTTTATTTGCCAAGGCAAGTAATATGCTCGAATCTGAACTAAAAACAGGGAAAGGCTCAGCCTTGTAGGCAGCGTACAGTATATTATTATTATTTAGTCACATTTTGAAGTCCACATGGGGAAATGGGGGAGAAGGATGAGGAACAGAATAGCGGTTGCCTGCAAAAAATATGGAGGGATGAAACAGATTAAGGATGAAAATATAAAAAAACTAAAAGAAAAACAGATGATGTCAAATCGAATTGCGCATGCACGAACAGCCCACACGAGTAGTCAATCTTATTTGACATACCAAATTGTTGTGTTTTCACTTATTAACCATCTGTAAGTTGAATTTTATCCACGTCAAACAATTTTTCAATGCCATTTTGGATTCGACTTTTACCTGATTTACATGTGAAGTTAAATTCAACAAAAAGTAACAAATTGTAACCGAGCTATCTCTGAAGTTATTCCTACCGAGATATAAAACATTCCCACGCGTCTGAAAGGTAATGCTAAGGTCATGTAAAATTTATTCAATTTTATTCAATGAATCATTTTTGCCCCTACTACGACTTAGGCTCAGCCTAGGCCTAGTTAAGAACTCCTGTCATAGATGGACTGTTGAACTCATCATCACGATAAACATTCGAAGCAATCAAATGCCCTTAACTGCTGTACTACTGTAGGCCTACTACTACTAGGCTTAGGCCTAGCCTAGCTTCCGACGTTTGTGTCGACTCTTTATAATACTATTACTAACACCATCCCTACGTTCATTTATGTATCATCTTCTTCTACCATTACTAATTAACATCAGTAACAAGGGTAATTCATCCATCATTGAGGAAAAACTAGGCCTATCTATTTCTAGTGGATTGGAATCGTCTGCAGAAGGAAAAAATTTAAAAGAAACCCGCGAAACACAATAGATTTTTGTTGTGTTGGAATTCCTGCGCATGCGCAGATCCATCCATGCTGCACCTCAGAAGCTTTATCAGCCTTGCAAGGCTGGTAAAGATTACCGAGACATTCCAAGATTTTACAAGGATATTACACAGAGGTACTTTCACACGTGCCGTAAAATGTTACTTTTGGTACATTTGGTTACATTTGGAAAGATTTTTGTACGTGTGAATCGGGTATTACTGTAGGCAAGTTCAACTGTATTTAGAAATTAATGAAAGGCAGTGGCTATTGTTACACCAGTTATGAACTAAAATGTCATAATTGAATCCATACTGCAATAACATCCAATCAGAATTAGGCATTGGTTTTAAGACTTTAAAGCTAAAAAGGATCAGGCATCTACACCAGACTTTTCTTGTGTATCATGGCTGCAAAAGGAAATTGTGTGGTGGGTCAGAATTGAAGATATTTTTTTCGTGATATTAAACAGATGTGTGTATCAATAATTCATTGTTTACATCATTGGTTTGTCCAACTTAGGAATGCATGCAGTTCAAGCTTGATCTCCATATTATTAGTAGGATAACTTTCTGTATTGTAGGTATGAGTAAGTTCAACATTATACACTCTACGTGCTACTAACTATGTTCCAGACCAAAGAAGGCCTTGCACAATACATAGGTCTACATGAATCTTCATGTGATTGGATTTAAGATATATTCACAAGTATCATGAATATACAATACTGTACACTATTTAATGACCAAATATTTTTGTTGAACTATAATATGATTCCATGTAAAGATTATTTTTCGTCGCACCAAGGATTGTTCAGCACACCCTAACCTAGATCTAGCTCTAGGCTAGCCTACATTACCAGAAAGTAGGATTTTTTTTCATACTTAAAAGTCAGGCTCCGGAGGAAAGAAATTTTTTGATATGTTGTAGAACTGATTTTTCGAAGACAGAAAAAAGTTGTTTGATGAAAAACTGGGGCAATGGTGAATGAGATACAGATTTTTCGATATATAAAATCTGGGGGAATAAGGTGTAAAAATGTGCAGTTACGCCCATTTTTCCCCCAGTTTTTAAATATTAAAAAATCTGTATCTCATTCACCGTTCCCCAGTTTTTCGTCAAACAACTTTTTTCTGTCTTAGAAAAATCAGTTCTACAACATATTAAACATTTTTTTCCTCCGGAGCCTGACTTTAAAATGAATGAATCAAATTGACTGAAAAAATAACTACAATATTTGATGAGTTCCATAGTAATACAGATCACTTCGGTCGCGCCACATTTAGGTTGCCCTTCATTTCAGTAGTGCTTCATTGGGTTGCAGTGTATGGAGCGCCTATAGAATTGTAAACAAAAATCTACATTTTTTTGTGTTTTTGAATTATTAATTTTTATCATGCCATAGAATTTGATTGGTTTTTATGTACGTATCTTTTATTGTGTAATTATGTTTCCATTAAGATATATATTTTGATCATAAAACATAAAAACATATGGACAATGCTCTTTTTCTGTTCAGGCACCTACAGTATCTTTGGAATCTGTTACCTCTTTCTGTTCGACAATCTTCAATTTTAAACTCATAAAACTAATTTGAAAACTTTTTTGTTAACAAAATCGCTTTAATTGGGTTAATTGTTCACTGCGCCTTTGATAATGTTTTTTGAATTGGCGTGTTATAAATTTCTGCATATTATTATTATTAATTATTAATACTTTAATAAAATGGATACAATTATATGAAATAAGTATAGTAGCCAATGATTAATGTATCATACGTTTCTTTTCTTGTTCTTGCATTTATGTTTACTGTACGATAAAAATGAATACTATTGAAATTAGTAAAAACTAGGCCTACATAATGAATGGAAATAAAAGAATAAAATATTTTAATATTTATATTTTCCACCATAAAATATCAATTCTTTTTTTAAATACCGGGTACATACATTTTAATAATGGCGTTTCAGGCTTCTTATTATAGCCAAAAATTTCATACTTGATAGCCCTATTGTATTTATAGTTGACTATTAAAAAACTAACTACTGTATAAAGTATTAAATATTAAATTTGAGAAACATTCTCACAAAAAAGTTTGCCATGGTACTAGTGAAGCATACACAAGGTTTTCTTTAAATTTTTAAATTTCCATTTATGATATAGTACATAGTAAAATATATAGTTTAAATATAAATTTATTATAAATTGTAATAGTCATTTCAGGTTTCTTTTAAATCACTAGGACTTTTCCCAGTTGCCTAGAAACTACCCTAAAAACATAATTTGTAAAGAAATTCTGAGAACCACATACAGGTTACCACAACAGTGATTCCTTGTACATTACAGTCGCACTCAGGAAATACAGAAATAGGATGATAAAACATCTATTTTTAGGTACAAACACATGTGATGGAAGTGTGAAGGTACATTAATCATTGTCTAATATACTTATTTTTATAATTGTATCCATTTTGTTAAATGTAGATTTTTGTTTACAGCTTTATTAGCACTCCATACACTGCAACCCAATGAAGCATGACTGAAATGAAGGGCAACCTAAGTGTGGCGAAACAGAAGTGATCTGTGTTCACCACTAATCATACATAATACTTTGTTATTGACTGACTTTTTTCAGTTTTATTTCATTATAATGGATCAAGAAAAGTACACGATGAAATTTATACAAATATCAAACATCTGTCTTGTTTCATCTTGGATTCATTACAGCCTCAAGATTGCTTTCCTTGTAAATATTCTTTAAATCTACCATACTAAAACATGCTGCATTTTTTTTAATTTAAACCTGTGAGCTGGTAAGAAAATTATAAATAGAAATTTATTTAAAAATTAAATATACTGTAAGTGAAAATAAAAGAAATAACATTAAACAGACTGTAAAGTAAGGCATGCGAAAAAATCGTATTAAATCGTTTATTGGTTGCATTCACTAACCTTTGAACTTATTTACAAAGTAAACAGGTCAAAGTTTACTTGCGCTATTTAAAAATATTTTTTTCATTGATCGGTCACGGAGTTACAGTGTACGGAACTTTTTCTTTGAAATAAAGCATCATTCTCTTATACACATCTAGATG